CCTGGTCCCAGATGGCACAGATCTTCCAGACAGCAAATCTAATATATGTTGAGTCTGAGCAGGCCACAGAGTCCTGTGCCTTCAGAGGAAAGAACCTCTACAGAGTGATCATTATTATGTAGCCATATGACAGTCTTCTCCCCTGACATATGGGTTGGGAATTGGCATGGCTGTCACCCCACTTACTTCCTAAATTGCTGAAGGGCAAAGAGCATTTCTTCAGACCAGGTAAAACCTCATCACTGCTAGCTAGCATGGTGCTTTTCTTACAGGAAGCATTCAGTGTAGATACTAATAAGTAATAGAGTGAGGAAACAAAAGAAAAATTAGGTGATGGCTTGGTTATTTGTTTAGAATTATATCTTTTCCATATGAAGATAATGGCTCCTGTGGGAATATGGCCCTGTGGATAGAATGAGCTTCTTTGACACTGATGCACTGAGTATAGAGAGAGATGCAAATGAAAAGAATATACATGCAAGAAGAGAACTCAAATACTTTTATATCTGAATGACTTCATGCTCTTTTCTTGTAACATCTAATGAGGAAAAATTGTCACAGAAAACTAATTCATCCATTTCTATAATTTTTCAATGTTATATCAAAGCACATGCTTTTTCAGAATTAAATGTAAGACACAGAATTTGCAAAGGGGCTTTGAGTCTCATAACTTCTAAATAAATTTAAATTTAATTAAACTAATTCTGCCCTTATATGTGATGTTATTTTTCTTTTTTTGAAAGAATGAGCACATTACCATGTGTGTTAAATAGCTTTGGTTGTATCTGACTATTTGCGACCCCATGGACTTCAGCCTGCCAGGCTCCTCTGTTGATGGGACTTTATAGGCAAGAGTGGGTTGCCATTCCCTTTTCCAGGGGATCCTCCTAATGCAGGGATCAAAACTGCCTCTCTTACTTCTGCATTGGCAAGCAGGTTCTTTACTTAACATTACCTAAAGTTAGGGTTGGAAAGCCCTAACATCATTATGGTTCCTGGTAAAAAAGCAAAACAGAAAAGTATAAATGATTAAAAGATTATGTAGGTTTACTATGATGAGATGGTAACTAAAAGTTACATTTAGGTTTGTATAGGATGACAACCATAAAGAAGGTTGAGTGTTGAAGAATTGATGTTTTTGAACTGTGGTATTGGAGAAGACTCTTGAGAGTCCCTTGGACTGCAAGGAGATCAAACCAGTCCATTCTAAAGAAAATCAGTCCTGAACGTTCATTGGAAGTACTGATGCTGAAGCTGAAACTCCAAAACTTTGGCCACCTGATGTGAAGAACCGATTCATGAGAAAAGACCCTGATGCTGGGCAAGACTGAAGGCAGGAGAAGAAGGGGATGACAGAGAATGAGATGGTTGGATAGCATCACTGACTCAGTGGACATGAGTTTGAGCAAGCTCCAGGACATGGTGATGGACAGGAAAGCCTGGCGTGCTGTAGTCCACGATGTCACAAAGAGTTGGACATGGCTGAGTCACTGAACAATAGCAATAACAAGGATGACAACTCCAGCTGCATTGCTACAAAATCTCTCTTCTTTCCATTTCTAGATCCCCCCTCTTTCTTCCAGCTACAGTATATCTTACAGTTCTCTTTCCTTCCCAGCCATGTATACCTTCCACTGTTCCAAACACCCTTCTTCTCTCCTCGTCAGTGATGGCAAGAGAGAGGTGAGGCAGAATGACAAAGACAAAAGAGGCTCACCATCTGCCCTGTTTCCAACATCACAGCTAAGACCCACCCTCTCCATCCCAGCTCTCCCCATCTGCCACTGTCGCTCCTCACCCTCAGGACCTGCTCCCCTCTATTTCCCTTGCATCTGTCCTGGGATCTCAGTGTTCCCTTCATATTAATTACCTCATTTCAGAGTTCTGGTTTCTATGCTCATCTTCATTCAGAGTTCATATCCTGGTTTCTAAACTCACAGCATGAAAAGTTCTTATCACAAGCACTAGCTCTTCTTTGTCTGCCCACAGGAAACCCTAGCAGTACCTTCAAGTCTACAGCCAACACAGCCCAGTTGAGGGGCATGAGGAGAAACCTCTGTTCTCACTCCTCAGCCTGCAGTTAAGTGCAGGGGTGCTCTTGGCTGCAGTGATGCACTTTTTCACAGAACATAGTAATGGTTGGTGATTGGAATCTTCAGTAATACACAAAGAACCTCAGTAATTAAGTAAGAATGGGGGGAGGGGGGATAAGCCCTACAAACCTTCATATCCAAGTTCACAAGGGAACAACGGAAACTTGCAAATGCTGGACAAAAATTTCCACCAGCTTTATTGAGACATACTTTGTATATAATATTGTGTAAATTTAAGATGTACATGTGATGATTTCATAAATGTATCTATTGCAAAATTATTACCACAATAGGGTTAGTTAACACCTCCTTCACCTCATGTAGTTACTTTGTGTGTGTGTGTGTAGTAAGAATATTTACAATTTATTCTTAGCAATTTTCCAGTATATAACATAGTATTGTTAACTATTATCACTATGCTGTACATTAGATTCTCAGAGCTTATTCATCTTATAATTAAAAGTTTGAACACTTTGACCCACAGCTTCACTTTTCTCTCATCCCTCTCCCAGCCCTGACAGCCACCATTCTACTTTCTGTTTTGAGTTTAGCTTTTTTAGATCACACATAAATGAAATCACACAGCATTTGTCTTTTTCTGTTGTCATAAATGGCAGAATTTCCTTCTTTTTTATGGTTGAATAAAATTCTTAACACAGGTGTTTATAACTATAGGTGTTTGTAAGAACACGTTTTTATAACTTAAGTGTTTATAAGATCTTTCCTCTTAGAACTGTTTTTGCTATGTCTCACAAGTTTTGGCATATCATTTTTTCATTTTTGTTTGGAGATTTTTTTAAATTTCCTTTTTTTATTTCCCTTTTGATGTCTTCTTTAACCCATTGGTTGTTCAGAAGTGTATTGTTTCTCACATATTATTAAATTTTCGGTTTTCTTCATGCTATTGATTTCTATTTCCATACCACTATGGTTGTAAAAGATATTTGGTATGTTTTAAATCTTCTTGAATTTGCTGACACTTGTTTTGTGACCTCATATGTGACTTATCCTGGAGAATGCTCCATTTGTACTTTAGAAGAATATGTGATCTGCTGCTCTTGGATTGAATGTTCTCCATATATCTGTTAAATCCATTTGGTCTAAAGTACAGTTCAAATCTCCCCTTTCTTTATTGACTTTTCTGCCTGGGTGATTTATCTTTTAGCGAAGTAGGGTATTATAGTCCCCTACTGTTATTGCATTTTTGTCTGTTTTCCCCTTCAGACCTCTTGGTATTTACTTAAAATATTTGGAGTTCTCCCATGTTCAGTGCATATCTAGTTATGACTGTTCTGTTCTCTTGATGAATAGACACCTTTATTATTATATAATGGCCCTCTTTACCTCTTGTTACAGCTTTTGAGTTAAATCCCATTTTATTTGCTATAAGCATAATTACCTTTGTTGCCTTTTGGTTTCCACTTGCACATAGTATCGCCTTATATCGCTTCACTTTGAGCCTGTAAATGTCCTCAAAGCTAAAGTGAGTCTCCTGTGGGCAATGTATAGTCAGGTTTCATTTTTTTTTCCCCACTTTTTTTTTTTTTGCCTTTTGATTGGAGAATTTAATCCATTTACATTAGAGTAGTTATTAATAGGTGAGGGCTTACAAATTTTAATCTTATTTTTTTCTGGCCTATGTTCCTTTCTTCTAGCCTCTAATCTCTCTGTCTTCCTTTGTGAGTTGATAATTTTCAATAGGAGTGTGCTTTGATTTGCTTCATTTTATCTTTGTGTATCTACTGCAGGATTTCGTCTTGTGGTTGCCCTGGGGCTTAAGACATCCTATAGATATAACTACTTATTTTATGCTGATAACAACTTTTATCATAAAGAACATTTTATACTTTTAATCTCCTTTTTCATATATTTAATGAGATAATTTAATTTTTCAATATTACATATTTATTTAAAAATACAATAGCTATAGTTACTTTTAATAATTTTGTTCTTTAACATTTAGACTAGAAGTAGTTAACATATCACATATTAATGTATTCTGGATTTGACAATATACTTATATTTACCACTATATTGTATGTTTTCATTTTACTAATTACTATCCTTTAATTTCAGTTTGAAGATTCCTTTGAGAATGATTTTGTTTGTTTGTTTGTTTGTTTGTCTGTTTATTTCTGAAGTTGCTTCAGTCGTGTCTGACTCTATGTGACCCTATGGACCGTAGCCCACCAGGCTCCTCTGTCCATGGGATTCTCCAGACAAGAATACTAGAGTAGGTTGCATGCCCTTCTCCAGGGGATCTCCCCCACCCAGGGATCAAACCCACATCTATTACATCTCCTGCATTGGCAAGAGGGTTCTTTACCACTAAGCCACCTGGGAAGACCAGCATTTTTATAAATCAAATCTAGCGGTCATGAACTCCCTCAGCTTTTGTTTGTTTGGGAGAGTCTTTCTCTCCTTCATTTCAGAAGGGCAACTTTGATGCATAGAATGTTTTTGACTGGCAATTTTATTTTCTTTCAGCACTTTGAATATATCATCCCTCTCCCTCTTGGCTTGTCAGGTTTCTGCTGAGAAAATCACTGATAGCTTTATGGGGGTTCCCTTGTAAATTGCAGGCTTCTTTTCTCTTGCTGCTTTTAAGATTGTCTCTTTGGTATTTCTTTTATTATGATGATGTTCCTTGTATCTTTTTTTTGATGTTTCTTTTTTACTTTACTGTATTTTATATATTACAATGTGTCTTGGAGAGACCATCTTTAAATTGAATTTTCTTGGGGATCTATGAGCTACACAAGCTTGAATGTTTAAATCTCTTCCCAGATTTGGGAAACTCTCAGCCATTATTTCTTTATGTATTTTGCTGCCTTCTTCCTCACTTTTTTTGGGCTCCATCAACCTCAGGTTTTTTCTTACAGTGATATCCCATAGATCAGGTAGGCTTTATTCATTCTTTTTCATTCTTTTTTCTTTCTTCTCTTCTGAGTGGATAATTTTAAGTATATGGTTTTCTAATTTGTACTTTCTTTCTTCTGCTTGATCCATTCTGACGTTGATGTTCTCTGTTTTATTAATTTTCATTTCATTCATTGTATTCTTCAGCTTCAGAATTTCTGTTTGGATCTTTTCTACAGTTTCTATCTCTTTGCTAAAAAAAAAAAAAAAAAGATTTGTGTATTGTTTTTCTTGTTTCAGTGAATTGTCTTGCTATGTTTTCTTGTAACTCATTGAGCTTCCTTAAACAACTATTCTGAATTTTTGTGGGGTACAACACACATCTCCATGCCTTTAAGGTAAGTTACTAGAAATTATTATATTTATTCATGGTGTCTCCTTGATTTTTCATGTTCATTAAAGGTTTGCATTGTTGTCTTCACATTTAAAGTAGCCGTCACATCCTCCAGTCTCTACTGACTGATTTTAGGAGAGAAATACCTTCCATCAGCTTTCTCAGACCTTCTGAGAATAAGTAGATATAAGTAGATAAAGATATACTTTATATATCTTTATATATAATATAATATATATATAAAATAAGTATATAATAAGATATACTTATTCTACACTTCTTGCTCCCTCCCTCTTGTGGCAGAGGACAAGATGGTTGGATAGCATCACTGACCCAATGGACATGAGTTTGAGCAAACAGTAGGAGCTAATGGACAGGGAAGTGTGGAGCGCTGCAGTCCCTGGTGTCACAAAGAATTGGGCATTACTTAGCAATGAACAACGACAGATCCTTTAGAGCCAGGCCATGTGCTAAAAACTCTCTTTTGCTTTCTCAAGAATGGTCTCCTCCAGGCCTGCATATTTGGGCATGCTCTGTTACTAGCTATCTGCAAAATTTTGCTTTTGCCACCATCTAGAATATATACAAGAAGTCAGGCACAGTACAGAGGTGTGTGAGTGAAGTATAAGGAGTGTTGGAGATGCCTATGGATCAGCTTGGGGGATTGGTAGGCAAAGTATTCCCAGTGGCTCGTGGGCAGGTCTTCTCATTGAGTCTCTGTTGTGGTTAGGCGGATCCACTACCACTTTTATATGTTGTGTTCTGAGCCCTGGCTGCTGTTCTGCCAACTACTTATGCCCCAAGGAATGCAACACAGTACTATGGATGTGACAAGAGAAAAATAAGCCTTTTAGGCAGTGACTGGCAAAGCTGGGGAAGCCAGGTGCTCGCTCACTTTCCCCTATAGGAGAAATCACAAGCCAAAAAAAAGACTCTCTTGGTACAGAGCTGTGCCACCTTGGGGAAGGTGCAATTTAGATTAAGTCAAATTGTTTGACTTAAATTAAGTGAGATTGTTTTTCTTACCCTCTCTAATGCATCCCTTCCTGTTTTTTCTCCCCCATCAGGGTGCTAGAATTTCTCACTGGACTTCCGGAATTTCACAAGAGCTTTCTCATTCAAGGATGTCTGTCTGAGAGTGTTCTCCATGGGCTCCCAGAGGGGAGAGGGGCTGGAGCCAGTTCATGAGGCACTTCTGGGTCCACAGCCAGGATCAAAGTCTGCAAGCTTGTTACCTGACACATGGGTGGGTGGAGATTCCTTCTTGGTCCTGGGTTTATGTGCTGGTGACAGAACCAAAGCCAAAAGTGTCTGTAACTGAGCCCTCGGAGGCAGAGAGCTGTTTTCAGGTGTACTGCTGGGATCACAATTGGCAGTTCAGCTTTCTTCTCAAAATTTCTCCTTTCGTTCATGGACTAAATGTTTCACTCCCCATCTGGAGCCCTCAGCTCCCACAAAGGCACTTTTGTCCATGGATGGATGCCAAATTATTTGGGTGGAAGATATAAGTAAGGAATCTCTTATTTGGTCATCTTGATGTCACTTTCTGAAAATTTTAGAAATTGTTTCTAAAGTTATATAGACTTTGTATAACCTGATTGAAAATTGTTAGACTGGACTATCTTGTAAAACTTTCTTTTTCTTTGGTTAATATTTATTTGTGTTAATATTGTCTTTGGTCAATATTTATTTGCAAAATCTCTATGCAGGTCAAGAAGCAACAGTTAGAACTGGACATGGAACAACAGACTGGTTCAAAATTGGGAAAGAAGTAAAAGGCTGTATATTGTCACCCTGCTTACTTAACTTATATGCAGAATACACTATGCAAAATGATGGGCTGGATGAAGCACAAGCTGCAATCCAGATTGCGGGGAGAAATATCAATAAACTCAGATATACAGATGATTTCACCCTTACGGCAGAAAGCAAAAAGGAACTAAAGAACCTTTTGATGAAGGTGATAGAAGAGAGTGAAAAAGCTGGCTTAACACTCAACAATCAAAAACTGAAGATCATGACATCCAGTCTCATCACTTCATAGCAAATAGTTGGGGAAACAATGGAAACGGTGACAGACTTTATTTTCTTGGACTCCAAAATCACTGCAGAGGTGACTGCAGCCTTGAGATTAAAAGATATTTGCTCCTTGGAAGAAAAGCCATGACAAACAGACAGTGTATTAAAAGGCAGAGACATTACTTTACCTACAAAAGTCCATATAGTCAAAGCCAAGATTTTTCCAGTAGTCAAGTATGGATGTGAGAGTTGGACTATAAAGAAAGCTGAGCACCTAAGAATTAATGCTTTTGAACTGTGGTGTTGAAGAAGATTCTTGGGAGTCACTTGGACAGCAAGGAGATCAAACCAGTCAATCCTAAAGGAAATCAACCCTGAATATCCATTGGAAGGACTGATGCTGAAGCTGAAGCTCCGGTACTTTGGCCACCCAATGGGAAGAGCTAACTCATTGGAAAAGACCCTGATGCTGGGAAAGACAAAAGTCTGGAGGAGAAGGGGACAACAGAGGATGAGATGGTTGGATGGTATCACTGACTGAACGGATATGAGTTTGAGTAAACTCCTGGAGACAGTGAAGGACAGGGAAACCTAGCATGTTGCAGTCCATGGTGTCACAAAGAGTTAGACATGACTGAGCAATTCAACAACAACAGCAACAAATATTTATTTGTGTAGGCACTAACAACACCATAGTCAACTAGGATAATTTCTACACCTGTTATGGGCTGAATTGTGTCCCTCTCCAAATTCATTTATTAAAATCCTAACCCCTTGTACCTCAAAATGTGATTGCATTTAGGGAGAGTGTTTTAAAGAGGTAATTCAGTTAAATAAGGTCACCCACTGTGTTAATCATGTCTGACTCTTTGCGACCCCATGAACTATAGTCTGCCAGGCTCCTCTGTCCATGGGATTCTCCAGGCAAGAATACCTGAATGGGTTGCCATGACTGCCTCCAAGTTTATAAATGATAAACCTAATTGACAATCTAAATATATCTGACTTTATTTCCATGTGAAATTTTTAAGCAAACTCTTAATACACTAGGAGAAAACTTTTGAAATGCTATCCCTTCGGGGACTGCTACCTGCAAGGAGTATCAAGTACTTTTCAGATTCCAGTCTTGTAAGCTGAAGAAATACACTGGAGGTGCCTACTTAATAAATCTTCCTCATCTCTAAATTCAGGGATTAGAGACTTGACAATTCAAGTGATGGCAAAGATCAAAAATATTCTTTCTCCCCTTATTCCATAAAATAGGGGCTTTAGGTAAGTAAAGCCAGCATCAGATTAAGTGTATATTTCCCAGCCTTTGTCCTTGTAGAGAGGTCTGGCCATAAAGCTAGAATCTGGCTAATGGGATGTGAGTTAAGGTATGTAACCTTCATACCTCTCTTCCTTTTACCCTTGAGTCTGAGGATGAAAGGGCTTCCCTGGCAGCTCAGATGATAAAGAATCTGCCTGCAATTCAGGAAACCCAGGTTTGCTCCATCGGTCAAGAAGAACCCTTGGAGAAAGGAATGGCTATCCACTCCAGTATTCTTGCCTGGAGAATTCCATGGACAGAGGAGCATGATGGGCTACAGTCCAGGGGCTGCAAAGTCAGGCACTACCGAGCAACTAACACTTTTACTTTTCATTTTGAGTTTGAAAATGATGATAAAACTACCTTCAGGACAAAAGCAATACTTTCAAGATTTCAGATACATCGATTAAGACTTGGCCCCTGATACAGTCAAGTTTCTCAACATCATGGGCTACTTAGATGGAAAAATGAGAAAGATATCATTTTTACCATATTTAAGCCACTGCATTTTGGAATTTTTATTGTCATTGAGTAGATTGTAGTTTAACTAATACCCAAATTCCATAAAAGAGGAAAACAGATAAAGATCTTGAAAGAAGGTAAAAAGAGAGAAAGAGTGAATAGTTTCCTGTGTAAATAATTTGTCCATGCATTGGTTTATGACTTAAAATGAACACTTTTAAAAATCAATAAGGGAAAGACAGATTGCCAAGTAGAAAAACTGAATAAGATACCTGAAAAGGTACCTTATAAAAGAAGATGTATGTATGGACTACATACATGTGAAAGGATGCTTAGTCTCAATAGTGATCAAAAACAGTACCACCTCTCAACCTCTGAATGGTTAAAATTAAAACAGTTGACCATACCAACTGTTGCTGAGATGTGAAACAAATGGAATTTTCCTCTGTTGTTTGCTGGTGGGAAGGCCAATGATATAAGGGTGTTTGAAAACTCCATGGCAGTGTTTACTGCCAAGAGTTGATTAGGTACCTTTCCCATGGGCCACCAACTACAGCACCTAAAGAAATGTGAGCATATATTTTTCATATGCTAGAATATTCATACTAGCCCCAAACTAAAAACAACCAAGATAAATGAATTTCAGAATGATCATACAGTGGAATACTGTGCAGAAATGATACATAACAAACTACTGCTACACAAAGCAACATGGAAGAATAATCATGAATATGATGTTGAGTGACAGGATCCAGACACAAGAGAGAAACCCTCTGACTCATTGCTTCCAACCTAGGTCAGTTTTGAATTCTATTAAATCCTAGCCAGTTCTTCATTTTTACTTCCTGATCCCTTCATGGTATCTATAACAAACATTACTTGAATGAGGACATTCAAGACTTAAACAAAGACAAATTCTTCTTGCTAATCTAGTTTAGCCAAATAAAATAGAAGGAAAGTCTAAGTGACACATTATCATAAGGGAAGAAAACTTTAGAAAATTTATAAGAGGCAAGTTTGTGAGTTTCAGATTAAAAAACAAAGAGGTTAAGTTCCCAGTGTCTGGGTGTAGGACTGGAAACTGGGATTCATCAAGGAAGGGCTGCATCAAATTGACAAGGCTTTATCTGGGCAGAGAAAAGTGTTAGGAATAGGAATAGATAAGGAAGACCTTATTAAAAAGTAATCTGAATACATGGCAATAGGAAAGATGCTTAGAAAACAAGGCTTTGGAACCAGATGGCCCTAGGTTCTAATCAGAGAAATTTTACTATCTGTGTAATTTGGGCAAATTACTTAACCTCTCTAAGCCTCTACCTGCAAAACTGGGGAATGTTTGTTTCTACCTTGCACCACTTTTAGGAGAATTAGACAAGGCAACAAACCACCTGGAACATACAAAATGCTCAGTAAATTTAAGATCTATTTCTATAGCTACTATTAAGTATATTATCATTAACGCATGCAGAGTTTAGCAGAGAAATTGCCATTAAACTATATGATTCTTCATCATTCTGCTTAAATGATATATAAAGTGCTTGTATTCTTAACATTGCTGAGTCTCAAGAAGGGATTCCATGCTTAGAAGATATATTGACTGAGGTATCATTGTTTCTAAAACACTTTTAATAGGTTATATTCGTGTTGTCCTTCATCTACATATATTCCATTTCCCTTAGCCTATGCGTAAAACTGAAAAACCCCAGTCAGCTTTTGTTTGCTAGATCACATGGATGCTTGAGGTCCCTTATATCTGTGTAACTAACTCTGTGCCACACAAACCAATTGAAAAGGAAAATAGGGACAATTATCCACCTAACTCAAGGAGCAAACACTCGCTAGAAGAAATTAAAAGAAAAATTGTATTGAATTATATTTTCTATGATGAAGCTCACCATGGAGCTATTCAGCTTACAGTTTCTTATATTTGTGCCACTTTTCTTTGCCTTCTAATTCTGGTTTTACTTGCTTTTATAAAATGATATTTAACATTTGCAAAAATAAGCTTTGAAAATATGGAAATGCTGTTTACTGACATGGCTTTATAGAGAAATACCTGTGATAATGCTTACAGTCTAAGATCATTAGGAACAAAAAACCTGCTGGCTTGCTTGCTACAAATTGGAATTCCTAACCTTGGTTTCAAAGAAAGGTGTATGCTTTTTATTGCAGTCTAAATTTATAGACTGTTTTGGATTCTCACATTTCTATAGTCATTTGCATAGTGCAAAAAACATATTGCATAACAAGTCAGTCAAGCTAAATTATCGGCAGTTCTTTTCAATCGGGCCACTGCAGCTCTGCATTGCTCAGTTCAGTTCCTGTCTCCCACTGCTCAGATGTTGCCATGGTGACCAATTTTTGTCATGTACATTCCTAGGTCCCGCGCGGCCCCCTTATTCATAGCACTTTGCCATCACTACAGCGACCGCTAGCTGTTATCTGATTACCTAATCTCCCCTTAGTAATACATATCACTTTGAAGCTACCTGGGTGAATTCTTGAAACCTGAATATAAATGATGTTACATAAACAAGAAAATAGATTCATATTAAATAAAATGATCATGGTGATAACAAATAAATAAGACTCCTTAAGCTATCCATAAGCAAGAACTCTATGAATTTATTCTCTTACTATTCTCTAGCTATATCACAGTCCATATCTTTGGAAGATCGATTTGATTCTTTTATGACAAATGCAATAGCAAGATTGCAAAATTGTTGAGCTGAATTTGATCAACTGTGTTGCAATCCATCTGATTGTTGAGCTTTTCACTGTTATGACAGCTGAAAAACACAAATTATTGGCATATTGGAAGAAGACATTGAGAGGTACTTAGTCTAATTTATCCATATGCCTAAAAAGACAATGTCATATGGATAAAATAAATGTCACCTCTTTTTCCTTTTTAGATATCGTAGGGTGAATGTCTTTCGAGTAAAAACACAACCTTAAAAAAAATCACAAGAAACCAGATCAAAGACATAAATAGAACAAAATATGCACAAGAGATCTCATCCAAGATCAAAGATGTGAACGTAATTGCCATGAATAAGAACTGCAGAGCTCACCAGAACAGAATGTCTTCAGCACACAGAGAATTCTACCAAAAAAAGAAAAAGAAGAAAAGGAGGGAGGAAAAAAGGGTCTCTGGGAAATCAAACCCTCCACAAAGCCGGTAAAATACCTTTATTTTCCCCTCTGCAGTAAACAACATTTCTATGCTCTACCACTGAAATGACCAAATATGGGGGCCAATGCTGAAGAACCTTTCTACTTTGTGAGCTAAGCGTCTAAATTTTATGGGTTTCCCCCCCTCACTTGTCCAAATCCACCCCCAAAACTTCAGTCTTTCTAAATGTTTCACTGTAAATCAACCCAGTACAGAGAGAGTTTTCAGGAGTGTCAAATATTGACATAGTAGAATTTGAGAGAGCAGCTCTGCTTGTTAAAATCATGTAATTCATTTAATGCATAAGGGAAGAAGAAAGAAAAAGTAGAAGGAGTTCCCTTTATTAAATATTTATTGCTGGAGCCCTGGGTGGATGCCACTCAGAGAAGCAATCATTAGAGATGGGACATTGATTGAAGTGAATATTAAGTAGTACTCTACACTAAATAACAACTGCTGATTTCTTGGGGGAAAAAAAGTTCTTGGGACTCTTAGACACTGCTCTTTTAGAGAGTCTTACTGCATGCATGTAATTTTAAGTAATTCAGTCTTTTAAAAATGTGTCTCTGCCTCTGACCTTAAAGAGCTTTCATCTCATTCAAGCCAATGAACTCAACTCTTTTCTACCATTCTACATCAACAGGGTGTAGGGGAGAGGGTGGGGAGAGGGCGTGTGACAGAGTGGGACAGGCAACACGTGAGAGCAGATGGTTATCAGAAACGCAAGCTCATAGCTGCAGAAAGAGGAGACATAGCAAATTAATAATCCATGATTCTATTCAGCCCACCAGGACAAAGACCGATGTTGATTCAAGGTAGTTTGCTCAGATAGTTTCTTTTTGAAAGTGCTTACTTGATTCTCTGTAGCAAAAAAAAGGAAGAAGAAAGAAAGAAAGAAAGAAAGACTTAGGAAACACTGCATTTTCTAATGATTTTGTTGTTATTTAATTGTTAAATTGTATATGACTCTTTGGACTGTAGCCCGCCAATCTCCTCTATCCATGGGATGTCCCATGCAAGAATGCAAGAATAATGGAGTGGGCTGCCATTTCCTCCTCCAGGGGATTTTCCAGCCCCAGGGATTGAACCCTTGACACCTGTGTCTCCTGCATTGCAGGTGTATTCTTTACTGCTGAACCACCACGGAAGCCTTGCTAATGATATTGAGTTATAAATATATCCATTAACAGATGTACTTTCTACTCTTAGAATATGGATATTATAATTGAAAATGGTTTTTTGAAAAATAATGTGAATTTTGGACAATCTACTTCTATGAGGCTAATGTCCCTAATAGATTAAATGTACCAACATTCATTTTGTGGCTATTCCTAATATTGTAAAGTTATTATGAAGAGCAGTATTTTCCTATCATTCTAGATCCTGAGTATTGTCTTACTTTTTTTCTGACCAAGGCTCTTTACATGTTTAATAGGCTAGTTTTCTGTGCTTACTTCACCTGCAAGCAAAATGCAGCCTGCCCCTACATAAAATAAAGTGCTATTCAAGGACATGAGATTCCTTGCCACAGAGATTTCAATTGCAGTGGGAAGTAGGAGAAAGCTAGTGTTGAGTGGAATATACAAGGGACTGTATTTGAGAAGGGAATACAAGACATTATAAATAAACCTAGAAAGACACTGAGGCCTATGTCTTCTTAGCTCTAAGTATGGTAAAGCAAGCAAAATAAAAACGTGTCTAGAGAAGAGAAGCCACCTCCCAGTAGCAAATAATCCTGTACTAGTTGTTGGAAGGATAAGTAGGGGCTACTGAATCAGCTTCCCTGGGCATCCCATGGCTCAGAAGGTAAAGAAAGTGAAGGTGAAAGTTGCTCAATCTGTGTCCAACTTTTGCGACCCCATGGACTGTAGAGTCCATGAACTTCTCCAGGCCAGAACACTGGAGTGCGTAGCCTTTTCCTTCTCTAGGGGATCTTCCTAACCCAGGGATCAAACCCAGGTCTCCCGCATTGCAGGAGGATTCTTTACCAGCTGAGCCACAAGGGAAAACTAGTAAAAAAAAAAATCTGCCTGCAATGTGGGAAACCTGGGTTCTGTCCTTGGGTTGGGAAGATCCCCTCAGGGAGGGCATGGCAACCCACTCCAGTATTCTTGCCTGAAGAGTCCCTGTGGCCGGAGGAGCCTGGTGGGCTACAGTTGATAGGATGGCAAAATAGTTGGATATGACTTCATGACTAAATAACAACTGAAGAGTAAGTCCACTTCCTGCAGCATCTGGAGTTTCTAAGGAAAATCTCTTTCCTCCATCCATGTATTTATATTAGCTTTGCTGTGGATAGAATGCTTTGGAGGCTTCTATTGAATCCATTTTCAGGGATTTTAGAAATGTTAGGTTAAGGGGAAAAAAAAAAAAAAGACACCGTATCCTAGCCAAAAAGAATAGGATTGTACTACCATTGATCACAAACACCCTTGGGACCATTTTCTTGAGAAACCAATACAGTGGTTTGGTAAAAGGGAATAGCATTCCTCTGAGGGGTGCTTACACAACAGTAGTAGTTCTCAACTAGGAATAACCCTACCTGCTCCCCCTACCCGGGCACATGCAGCAATGTTGGGAGATATTTTTGATTGCCCGTGCACGTGGGGAGTGCTCCAGGGGTCTAGTAAGTAGAAACCAGAGATGCTACTCAACGTCCTCAACACACAAGTTAGAATCCTCATCAAAAAAGAAAAGCTCAATCTAAAATGCCAACAGTGCAGAAGTTGAGAGACAGTGTATTATATGGCCCCCCATTTTTTCTCCACTTGTCTTTTGGTTTCATGGGCATATTTTTACAAAGAGATAAAGCTTATATTTTCTTTAAAGATAATCAAATCACAAATTTTCTTAGGTGACAATCAGATATTCATAATCTGTTTACTATAATGATGCTTCAAATTCATGTATTGAAAATTTAAAGTTTGATAAATATTCAGCTTGATTTTTCAGATTCATTATTTAGTGACTGGGCTCTAGCCCAAACCTTTTGTTAGAATGAAGTGGTACCCCGCATGGTTATTTCACTCTTGCATCCCTCTCATGATTAGGGATCTGATGCCCAGAAATGGCTTGGCAGCTCTATGAACCCACACAGCTACATTTTCCTTTGTGTATGGATTTTCTGAGAGCCCAGCACTTTACTGATAACATTTTTAACTTGGAACTTATTTGATTTTTACAAATTATGGCCTTTACAAAAGAAGAAGTGATTTTCAACCACCTTTATACCTCCATTTTCTCCTGTAAAACTAAGACAGACATCTGGTGATTTTCTCTGAATGCTCAAATAACTGTTTTGAATAGGAGAATTGCTATGGTCAGAATTTTGAAAGAAAAAACTCCTCTTTTCTAGTCCTTTTGACTCATAACATCCTGTTAAATCAAGTCAGAATTCTAGATGCTGTAGAGTTGATAGAGAAGAAGATTTTGAGCTTGCGTGAACAGTGTAGTGTGACATCTCATTAGAACACAAAATCCTCTTTTAGATGTTTCCTAGTTCAATGAGAAAGATGCCCTGGTCATTATTATGGTCTCAGAAACCACTTTGATCACCACACTGTGGCAAGACTCACTTACAGTACATGATGAGGCCATTTCATAATGAGCACTGTACTCATTATAATTTATTTATTTCTAAGAACTTTAATAAAACCCATCAGGCAAGACTTTTACCTGAAAATCCTTTTATCCATTGTCAAGTTACCCTTGAACTTTAGGCTACACTTCTTTAGTAATATTCTATAATCCAAAGTGCTCATACAGTCATGCAAAGATATGTATTGAATGTTCACTGCTTAAAATATATCTGAAGTATAAATTTTTGCTAGACTTCTGATATAAGAAATCTAAAAAACTTTTTATTTTTAAGTCAGTGTTTTCCAAAATGTTCTGAGCATAAAAAAAAATTATCTGGGTTATTTGTTAAAAGTAAAGGCTCTTAGCCCAAATAAGACCTCTGTGGGAGGGCCCTAGGAATCTGTATTTTTAAATAGCACCCAGAACTGACTCATTGGAAAAGCCCCCTGATGCTGGAAAAGATTGAAGGCAGGAGGAGAAGGGGACGACAGAGGATGAGATGGTTGGATGGCATCACCGACTCAATGGACATGAGTTTGAGAAAACTCTGGGAGATAGTGAAGGACAGGGAAGCCTGGTCTGCTGCAGTCCGTGGGGTTGCAAAGAGTCAGACATAACTGAACAAATGAACAACAGGGAATCATACGATTTGGTAATTTTGGAAACAGTGCCTTAAGAGAATGCACATACGTGGGAGGCTATGAAAGATGTCATATTAAATTATTAATAGATTTGGTACCTATATTTCAAAAGGTTGTTTGATACATGTAGAACACTTAGAAGAGTTTCTGGCACATAGTAAGCATGAAAGTGTTAAATAATCTTCCCATCGTCCTTGGTGTAGATAAGCATTATCATTTCACAAGGTCAGCCTTCAAAAATCATTAGTCTTCTCAGTCCATGACACAGAGCCTTGTACTTAATTGCATCCGTGACTCTTCATCTTTTTCCTCAAGTATTTGACCAAATTCCTGTCTTGTTTTCATTAACTCTCCTATTTTGATTGCTTTCTTATTTCTCCTTTTAACTGAATGTTCCTCCTGATACTGACTTTTCCAAGAGTCATTTAATTCTTTATCTGTGCACACAAGGAATGCTTCCTGGGAATTCTAACATTCCATTGATAAGCATCAAGGTGTGTACCTTGATCCTACCCTCTAAACCCAATTTACCTGTACCCTGAGCTTTCCCAGGATCTGTGGGTCTCACCCTCTCAAACTAATGTCACCGCAATCAACAAATATTTGAACATTAGTTTGGAGTGTTCCATTGGAGTTGTCTGAGCCCATACCATGTACATGCCATAGAGGTTATGTTGAACTTGGGAGCAACCCAGAAGACATATTGATTTTTTTCTCTAATTCAGAAGAAATCCTTGTGCTCATTCACTGTCTTATCCATAACTACAGCTTACATTCTCTTTTATATAAGGCTTGGTACAATCATAAGCAAGGAATAGGAAAGACTGTATATAATCAGTCTGGCCCTTTCCATATTACTCATTATTGCAATTTTTCCTAAGTAAAAGTATTTGCTGCATAAATCAGACATGTAAAATGTATGCCATTGAGATAAAGAGAAAAAGAAAGAAGCAGCTTTGCTTCAGCTCATGTATGTTTAACCTTTGCATCTAATATCAATATTCCTAGGCTGGATTTTATAATAGAAAGATCCCTTCACATGTTGTGAGGAATTCAGGTATGTATACAAATGACCTTATTCACAAAGATAATTTATGTTCTTTCTAAAGAATAATTTCATTCTGAAGTGAATAGAAAGACAATCACTTTGATTTTACCCACTGATTCTCTCCTTTCAGATTGTAATGAAATGTATCAGTGGCAAGTCTGGAAATTCCTAAATGGTCACAGAAACTACCATTACTCTGTGTTAAAAGAGGTTAAACTGCCCAAAGCCATAATTTCAAGTCTTAATTGAATGCTAGCAATTCAACCGTGAGCAGGATCCCCAGAAGAATGGCAGAGTCCTCTGTAGGCTTCCCACAATGGGGATGCGTGGGTAGATGCCATCTGCAGCTCAGGGTAGGGAAACAAAAAGACATTTGAGGAAGAGGGGATTTCTTACAGATATGATATAATGGGAAAGCGCTGAAAGTCATCCATCATGACTCTGACATACCTCACACCCAACAACAGCCAAAAGCCACAAGATGTCACGTACCGCCTGCAGCGTGTCAGGTCTTCTGGCATCAGCACTTTTGTGCATCCTGCCACTTCCCCTTTCTTGCTGTCCTGCCCGGGGAGGTTCAAGAATGCCTCTGCCCACCCCACCCCAACGCTTGCTAATGCCGTCTTTATTATCACACACCACAACAACCACTCGGGACAATTCATCTGATGACAGGGAGTGACAATCAGAGGCGAACAAGGATGCCGATGTCACCAGATGTTGTTGCATCCCATAAATTGGGTTAGCGCGACCATGCTGTTCCAGGAGGTTAGAGCAACAGGGCCCAGGCCAGGACCCATGGGTGCTCAGAAGCGCTCATGGGGCCAACTGCTCAGAGACACAGAGAATAAGCCCAGGTTTACTTCCTGTGCTCTCAGTTTTCCTTACAGGTCTTTAAAGTAATCATCTCAAATATGTAAAACATGGATTGGGTTAAGATGAGGAAGAAAAATAAATAAGCTATGGTTTCACATCACTTGTATGATGGCAACCTGTCATGTACATCAAAGTGCTTTTTCATTTAATTTCAAGGTACCACATGGCCTGAAGACACACACACACATTTAACATTAGAATTAGTTATAATTACATTTCTATGATTTTCTCTTGTTTAACTTCTGTAAACAATTTGCTTTTATCTCATCTTACCAACAAATTTACAAACTCTCCAAGTGCAGAGGCCATGGGTAGTAGTGCCTCTTTGGCCCTCACATAATTCAATATTAAAACATGAATTGCTTAATAACCTATTAAAAGGTTTTACTTTCATTTTGTTTTTAATATTTCCTAAGATTGTATAAGAAAATTGAAGACAACATGCAGACAGAAAAAACAAGGTTGGAAATAATTGACTAGATCATATCAAAAAAATATAAAGCTAAGCAGTTCAATTTTATCACTTAAATTAAGGGTATCAGTAGCCTGAAAGTCCTAAGCTTGTTCAGAATGATTTTGCAGGTTAACACTCTGAAAGCCGTGCTGACACTTCATGTTGTGGGCTTATTTATGTTGTTGTTTAATTGCTAAGTGGTGTTCGACTCTTTGTGAATCCATGGACTGTATCCCACGAGGTCCCTCTGTCCATGGAATATCCCAAGCAAGAATACTGGAGTGGGTTGCCATTTCCTTCTCCAGGGATCTTCCAGACCCAGGGATTGAACCTGAGTCTCTGGTGTCTCCTGTACTGGCAGCCTCCTGGATTCTTTACCACTGAGCCACTAAGCAAGCCCAGACTTGTTTATACCACAGTATAAATAGCCCATTTGGGACGCATCTAGGTGTATTTGTTACTAAATCATAGGAATCCATAAAATTACAAATAAAGGACAGTTCTCCAAAGCAATAACTTGTTTGAACGCAAAATAATTGGGACTCTGATTGACTGAATGTCATGTAGTGTTGGGAAACAATCCTATGAAAATACCAACCATATCCTGAAGCTGACACTTCAAATTTACCTGGGAAAATATGCAATTGCATAGTACAGTGTTTTCATCTCCATTCTCACATTTTTTGAATATGTCCATTTGAATCACTTTTGTCCTAGGTTTTAGCTATTCTTGTTTCTTCTATCATTTTCCACACACATACAGAGTTAATTTATATTGTAGTCAAGTTATTCTATCCATTTCTAAATATATTCTCTAGCTTGAGTTCCCAGAGTTGGTAAGATGTTAGTATTGTACTGCATCCTGAAACAACTCTTATCTTGGGGCATTGATTCAATACAAATATTTTATATTTATCATGGATATTAATGGTAGAGATTACCCAGTGGAAATGACAAGTTTACTCTTTTTGTTGGAAAATTCTGATTTAGTGCTCATTTATGAATTGTGCACCAAAGTGTAGGTTGGGAAAAGGAGCAAAGCAAAATCAAACACATGATTACTAGTAAGGATTAAGAACATATTGAAGTTATTCAAGTTACAAAAATAGCGTATATAACCCAGTTTTTAAAATACAAGTAAAAAAATATTAACTTAAAGAAAAAAGAATTGATTCAATATATGTTTTCTTGTTAGAATGAAACTGTAATTTAAATAACCAGATCGAGTGCAAGTAAGAAGTTAAGCTAAAATTAGTCAATATTTTAAATCTCTCTTTCTTTTTGATGAGGCACTAGGAGACTGACATTTTAACTTTGCTAAGTAAGGGTTTAACTCAGCACAAAGAGTATGAAAATGTAATTTATACATTGCATATGTGGACACTGAGGACATACCAGAGAACACAGTCCATATGTGGATATACTAGCTCCTGAGCTGACTTCTCTGATATCTTATCTTTGTAACAATAATGTGGCTCCACCTTCAGCTGCCATTGCCTTTATCACTTATTGCATGATGGGATTTGTTCATTCACTTTATTGTCCCTCTCCCCCACTAGAAGTGGCCTCTAAGGGGACAGGGACTTTGATACCTGGTCCCTATAGTATTCTTTTTTTTTTTTCATTTATTTTTATTAGTTGGAGGCTAATTACTTTACAATATTGTAGTGGGTTTTGTCATACATTGACATGAATTAGCCATGGAGTTACATGTATTCCCCACCCCGATCCCCCCTCCCACCTCCCTCTCTACCCAATCCCTCTGAGTCTTCCCAGTGCACCAGGCCCGAGAACTTGTCTCATGTATCCAACCTGGGCTGGTGATCTGTTTCACCATAGATAATATACATGTTTCGATGCTGTTCTCTCGAAACATCCCACCCTCACCTTCTCCCACAGAGTCCAAAAGTCTGTTCTCTACATCTGTGTCTCTTTTTCTGTTTTGCATATAGGGTTATCGTTACCATCTTTCTAAATTCCATATATATGTGTTAGTATGCTGTATTTGTCTTTATCTTTCTGGCTTACTTCACTCTGTATAATGGGCTCCAGTTTCATCCATCTCATTAGAACTGATTCAAATGAATTCTTTTTCATGGCTGAGTAATATTCCATGGTGTATATGTACCACAGCTTCCTTATCCATTCATCTGCTGATGGGCATCTAGGTTGCTTCCATGTCCTGGCTATTATAAACAGTGCTGCGATGAACATTGGGGTGCACGTGTCTCTTTCAGATCTGGTTTCCTCGGTGTGTATGCCCAGAAGTGGGATTGCTGGGTCATATGGCAGTTCTATTTCCAGTTTTTTAAGAAATCTCCACACTGTTCTCCATAGCAGCTGTACTAGTTTGCATTCCCACCAACAGTGTAAGAGGGTCCCCTTTTCTCCACACCCTCTCCAGCATTTATTGCTTGTAGACTTTTGGATAGCAGCCATCCTGACTGGCGTGTAATGGTACCTCATTGTGGTTTTGATTTGCATTTCTCTGATGAGTGATGTTGAGCATCTTTTCATGTGTTTGTTAGCCATCTGTATGTCTTCTTTAACACGCTTCTGAATAATCAACAAATCATAGAAGAAATAAAAAAAGAAATCAAAATATGCATAGAAATGAATGAAAATGAAAATACAACAACCCAAAACCTATGGGACACTGTAAAAGCAGTGCTAAGGGGAAGATTCATAGCATTACAGGCTTACCTCAAGAAACAAGAAAAAAGTCAAATAAATAACCTAACTCTACACCTAAAGCAACTAGAGAAGGAAGAAATGAAGAACCCCAGGGTTAGTAGAAGGAAAGAAATCTTAAAAATTAGGGCAGAAATAAATGCAAAAGAAACTAAAGAGACCATAGCAAAAATCAACAAAGCTAAAAGCTGGTTTTTTGAAAAAATAAACAAAATTGACAAACCATTAGCAAGACTCATTAAGAAACAAAGGGAGAAGAACCAAATTAACAAAATTAGAAATGAAAATGGAGAGATCACAACAGACAACACTGAAATACAAAGGATCATAAGAGACTACTACCAGCAGCTCTATGCCAATAAAACGGACAACTTGGAAGAAATGGACAAATTCTTAGAAAAGTATAACTTTCCAAAACTGAACCAGGAAGAAATAGAAGATCTTAACAGACCCATCACAAGCAAGGAAATCGAAACTGTAATCAGAAATCTTCCAGCAAACAAAAGCCCAGGACCAGATGGCTTCACAGCTGAATTCTACCAAAAATTTAGAGAAGAGCTAACACCTATCTTACACAAACTCTTCCAGAAAATTGCAGAAGAAGGTAAACTTCCAAACTCATTCTATGAGGCCACCATCACCCTAATTCCAAAACCAGACAAAGATGCCACAAAAAAATAAAACTACAGGCCAATATCACTGATGAACATAGATGCAAAAATCCTTAACAAAGTTCTAGCAAACAGAATCCAACAACATATTTAAAAAATCATACACCATGACCAAGTGGGCTTTATCCCAGGAATGCAAGGATTCTTTAATATCTGCAAATCAATCAATGTAATACACCACATTAACAAACTGAAAGATAAAACCCATATGATTATCTCAATAGATGCAGAGAAAGCCTTTGACAAAATTCAACACTCATTTATGATTAAAACTGTCCAGAAAGCAGGAATAGAAGGAACATACCTCAACATAATAAAAGCTATATATGACAAACCCACAGCAAGCATTACCCTCAATGGTGAAAAATTGCAAGCATTTCCCCTAAAATCAGGAACAAGACAAGGGTGCCCACTCTCACCACTACTATTCAACATAGTCTTGGAAGTTTTGGCCTATAGTATTCTTACTGCTTCACATAGTGCCTGGGACTCAAAGAAAAAAAACAGTGCAAATGTTAGAAAATATATGAAATCCACGTGTTCTTTTGAAAATAGATAAAAGAAGAACACCAAGAAGACTTTTCATGTGTGTAATTATGGTGTTCTAACGTCAGTTGTAATGTAAAATATTTCATTCAAATTAAGTGCTTTACACAGAGTATCTTAGTATGCATTGCACAAATAATCTTTTTCAGTAAATCATTTTCAATAAGTACTTTTCCATAGAGTGGCTGAAAAAAGAATTTGAAAGAAGGTTATAGATAAAGCATAATAAAGCTTTATGATTAAAATTTCTGAAATCCTCAAGGTATTATTCCATGACTCAAGTAATAAAGGTCCTTAAAATCAATTAAATGAAACCAAGTTCAGCATGTTGTAGTCAATACTTAGATTCCTGAATTTTATATAATGTTCACATTTGCCAAAAAGGATGCATTATTAATGCCTACATTAGATTTTCTGTGGGTAAGCA